ATCATTTAATGCAATTTGATCCTGATTCTATTTTTAATTTGTCTAATGCCTTAATTTGAGCATTAACTTAAAATCTTTTATTATAGTCATGTATTAAATGTAGATTAAATGCCCTAGATTTTAGAATTAATCGTTGAGCCAATTCTCACACTTGTTATCAAGATACATACGTTATATAACTTGTTCAAGTTTAGGCAATCTGAACCCAAGATCAATTAGTAACCAAACAAAACCTTAACTAATAAGCTAAATCTAATATTTAGGAATCAAATAAATATTTTGTATATATTATATATTATAGTTAATGATAGAATAGACAAGTGATGACATAAATCTAGGCCAATTAAGAATATGATAATACTTAAATTGCTAAAAAAAAACTAATTTATTTATATTAATTTGAGATTCAATATTTAAATTAAAATTATTTTATATTTATTTATAAATGATTATAATTAAATTTGATTTATTTTTTCTTATTATTATAATTTGAATATTAAATTATTTTTTAATGATTTAATATATAATCATTAAAAAATAATATGAAAACAATAAATTTAGTTTAAAAATATTAAAATCTTAAATCAATATAAATAGACTATTAGATTTATTTAAGTGATTTAAGTGTTGTCATATTCTCAATTGGCCTAGATTTAAGTTTTTGTTATCCCTTTTTAATTTTTTATCATTAACTAATATATAAAATTGATTCCTAAATATTAGATTTAGCTTATTGGTTAAGACTTGCTTGATTACTAATTCATTTTGGGTTCAAATCCAATTAAGTTATTTTAATTTTTTCTTCCTAAACTTGAAAAGTTATATAACATATTATCTCAATAACAAGTGTGAGAATTAGCTCAATGTTTAAGGCATGCCAAGGTTACCTCGAGACTCAAGTTGGATTCCTTGGGTGTCAAAACTATTCTTTATTTATTTTCACTTCAATTCAAAGTTGACACGTGCCAACCTTTTGATTAGATTGAAAATTTATTAAATTAAAATTAAAAAAAAAACCTTTAATCAGATTGTAACATGTGTCACAATTTGATTGAATAAATAAATTTATTAAATTAACTTGAAATTAGGACCTAATTAAGAATTAAAGTTAATATTGGTGATCAAGTTGATTAATTTTAAAATCTAGCGGATTTAATCTATAAATTTAATACATAACTAGAATAAAAGATTTTAAAATTAATACTCAAATTAGGACATTAGACAAATTAAAAACAGAATCAAGATCAAATTGCATTAAATGAAAATCCAAGGAAACAATTCATACACAAGTAGTGACCAAAATGAAAGAAAACAAAGTAGGGTTCTGACGTCGTGAATACATAACTTTACAAGAACTCGTGTCCTAATTATACCAATTTTGTTAACTTCCACGTAAACACTTACGTTAAGTTTTAATGACAGGTGGCTATATTGAAATCATTTAAATAGTCCAGTGGTCATATTGACGCAAATTTAAAAATAGTCGTCATTTGGCAACTCAGCCCATAGTTATGTGGTCATTTATGTAGTTTAGCCTAAAATTTAAAGGTGAAAAGATATTATTAAAAAATATAAAATACCTAAATTATATATGAAAATCTAACATTTTCAGGGGCAACTCTCTCGCCAGCCCCCTCGGGTCCATCTTCGGTGGTTATTGAGCTTTTATCGCACGACGATGTATAGAAAGTAGGGAAGGCTTATCCTCTAAAAACCGGTAGTCCCAACAGTCCAACCAAGCTAAAATAGTTAAAAGACAAACAACTCATTTGCACTGGGAAAAAGCACTCTCTGAAAATAATCAAAGTTGATAAACTTCTACCAGAATTCAAAACTCAATGAACCAACTTGAATTTCAATGACATTATAACTGCATATATACTCTCATTCCGTCAACACAATCCTTCAAAAGCCGTACCTTTCGTTACGGTTAAGACGATCCGCAAGATAGAAAGCCACAGAAACCAACCACGAATCACTATGCACGCCAACGGAGGTCAACCAGTCTTTTCGGTTCATTGCATCTCTAGCAAAATTGATGCCAACCACCGGCTTAGGCAGCTCGGGTGGAACTTCACCCACCGGCAGACTAACTTCCAGCTTTCATTCGGATGTCCACAAAGGTATAAATTTCCTTTTTCTAAACCAAACCCAAGGCAAAGAGATTTTTCTTATATAAACCTTAGCTTGATCACAAAACAAAGGGGGAAAAGCTCTATACAGAAAATCAGAGAACTTGAATCTCCAGTAACTTCATTTGCTCTTAATTATGAATTCCATTCCCCTGTTTTATAAAAAGCAAGGAAATTAGTACAACCTTAATTGTCAAATTTAGTCTCGTACTTTACAAAACCCTAGAGATCCAATTGTTGATAAACAATCTGATGGGAAGAAAGGTTTAACAGTGTTGTCAAAATTGGATTAACTTCTTAGTTCTTGTAAAATACAAAATCAAATTCTTAACAAATTAAACTAGATCACTAACTTCTCAGTCAAGGAAAGATGAAATTCATAATTAAACCGACTTTACTATTCCAATCTGATGTTTCAGAAACCCTTAGGTGGCGTTTGGTTGGATGGAATCCCTTGGAATTGGGGGGAATTGGAATCCAACTCTACCACTTTCTCATGTTTAGTTCAAGTTTTCCAAGGGAATTGGAATTCGTCATGGCTTTAACTTTCTATCAAATGAGGGAAATAGAATTCCATCCAACAATGGATGAAATTCAATTCCCTTGTCGAAGAGAAATGAAATTTGACCATACTACCCTCATCAATCTTTTAGTAACTTATTCATATATTGAATAAAAATAATTTTTTATTATTTCGGGTCGGTCGGATTTCTAATTCATATTCGGGTCGGGTTAGGTTTTTAAGTGTGATATTCAGGTCGGGTCAGATCGGATTTTTTTAAGTGTAATATTCGGGTTGGTTCGGGTTTCAGGGTGAAAAAAACACGACCCGAAAAAAATAAATTTTACCTTAATAATACCCCTCTATATAATTTTTTTTCTTCAATTAAGTCATGTTTTATGAATAAAATAATTTTTTATTATTTTGTGTGGGTCGGGTTTCTAATTCATATATTGAATAAAAATAGTTTTTGGTATATTTTTTGGTAACTAATTAACATACTCCGATTGGAAAGTCAAAAATATCGCTCTATCTTTTTGTAACTTATTAATATTTTGATTGCGATGATTTAACTTATAATGTTATTAGCATGATTTTTATAATTTATTGAAATGAATAATCAATCAATAAAATGAAAATTTAATATTTTTTAATTTTTTATAATATATTACTACATGTAAATTGTAAAACAAACTAAAATAAAGCAAAAAAACAAGAAGGGCAATTTTGTCATTTTATATTAATGAAATAAATTCATCTGACATTTCTGCGAACCAACAGAATATGAAATTAGATTTCAATTCCATTCCTGCCAACCAAACTGATATGAAATTGATTCTAATTCCTGACAGATTCAATTCTTTCACAGATTCCAATTCCCTCATATACATTCCAGCGAACCAAACGTCACCTTAGTATACTCGTATCATGTTTATCAGTCTATTTGAGGAAAGAGAATTTCAAAATTCATAATAAATCAAACAGTAAAACTAGGAAATTCAGGAAAAACTCGACATGCAAATTTGAAGCGGAAATGAGGAAGAGGAGATCTGAATTACCTGGGTCGCAGAGTGCGTAAAATTGATCCACATCTGAGAGAAACAGGGAAAAGAAAAAGAAAGGCAGCGTTAAACGGAGAGAGAGAAGCATATGAAGATTTACCAGAAGTCAAAGCACGAAGGATGGCGGTTCTTCGAGAAGAGTAATCTTGAAGATTTCCCACGATTGGAGTCAATGATTTTTCTTCTTGTTGGAACGTTAATAGTCGTTAATGTTTGTTATTAGTTGGTTGAGTTTCTTCATAGGAAGCTAAAATGAGCTGTTAGTTGGCAGTTAGAATTTATGTTATATTTTGGGCTTACAACGTTACCTCTCGTAAAAAGACTGTTGTTTTTTCTATAGATTTTAAATTCATATAATTGTATCAATAATATGTATTTTTTAAATTAATTATTAGTATCTGATCTATTGACCGACTAATCCAGATTAAGTACTGCAGAGGCGAATGACATTTCTAACCCAATTTGCTCCATTCACAAACGCAAGATTCGAACTCCTACTTTACTTAAGAGACCTAGTCTCATCTACTAGACCAACTGGTTGTTGGTATCAATAATATGTATTTAGTTATTGATTAAATTAATTTCTTTAGAAAATTGTAAAAGAATAACTTTAACATTCAAGATAATTATAAGAATGTATTTAATTATGAATTTTTAAAATAAAAAAATATTTGGTCCATAATTCAAATAAGAGATTTACTTATTTTTAATATAATTATAAAAAAATTACATGAACTTATGAAGTGATGATTAATAAGTTTTTATTATTCTTTGATGATATGGATCCGAACCAAGATAACAATTCAAAATTAATAATAGAAAAATGAACTGATTTGAATATTCAATGGCATACATGCAAATTGAAAGAATTGTCCATCTAGCTCAGTTGATAGAACGCAAGGCTTAACCTTATGGTCGTGGGGAAGGCAATTCATAACGGAAGTCTTCCACGAAAGTTGCTCTCAACCTGACGTTGAGGACAGCCTACTATCCTACCTCCCCTTACCTCATTACATATGGTAATAGGGTCATCTAATTTTTTTATACATGCAAATTGAAGCATGCAACCAAGAGAAAATAGGCAAAGAGCAGAGCCTTAATTCTAGAGCAATACCAAGTGAAACTTAAGGTAAAAGATTTGTGCAGGAGCCTGAGCCTAATCAATGTAAAAAATACATTAGTATAGTAGCAGAATTCAGAGACAGCTGTTTTATTCCTGGGAATTAAATATCAAATTTATACAGGGAACATTTAAGCATAAAGTTGCATCCCACTGTATTAAGACTACCACTTAAACCTTGATAATTTGGAAGATGATCACTTGATGAAAGGTGATGGTGGTGGCGAACAACCAAAGGATTCCTGCGAAGGTTCAATGCTTCAAAACATGGCTAGAGTATTAACGGCAACTATCGCATATAATAAACAAATTATCGATACTAAAGTGGGAATGAAGGCAAAGAGCTAACAACAAAATCAACACTCTTAGGGGATGCCGAAGAGGACACATTTGACTCCTAATCATCACAAGTTTTTTCAGGTGAAGAAAGGATACCCTAGTCCAAGGTCAGGGTATACACCACCGACCTCATGTGGAGCTAAAAGTACTTACCAATCGTCTACTAATGAGATTGCGCACAAAACTCGAGCCTTAATGGCATCCACTAAATGAAATTGTTTAGGTGCCGAAAGGGGCTAGGCCAAGGTCAGGGCCACCAGCCACATAGATGGTCGAGAGTGATACTTACAGGTCCATCCACTAAATGAGACTCGAACCTTAATGTCATCCACTAAATGAATTAAGATGACGAAAGGTGCCAGTCCAAGAATAGGGCCACCAACCAGCCACATAGATGGCCGAAAGTGATACTCACAAATCATTCACTAAACGAGATTCGAACCTTAAACGAGATTGTTGATTAGTCTCAACCTTAATATCAAGGTGCTAATGAGCAGTCAATCAATTATGCCAAAAATATTGACACACACAAACTCATATGGTTCTATTTAAACCTTAATCTTTCTCAAGGTGCCAATGAGTAATCAACCTACTGAATCAATCTATATCAATTTGAGCCAAATAGTCAACCAATTAAATCAATCTATATTGGCTTGACACTAAACCAACCCATAGTTCAACATTTATAAGTTCAAATTATACTAAAATCACTAAGTTCCAAATGATTTGTAGAACACCAAAATCAACTAAAACTTCAAATAATGATAAAAATTGAAATACAGTGTTTGTCACCTTCAATTACTAATCGGACCGAGCTGCGAACCTTCGACCTTCTTATCGGTCAAATTAAGGCCAACCATAGCCTCACCAAGCCCAGCTAACATCAGCAAGCACGTTCGGTCACTATAATGAGTGACGGCCTGAACAATGGCCCGGGCACGCTTTGCTGGTCACCACTCTTGAACAACCCCAGAGCCCACAAACACTCCTCACAGCCCAACTGCATCATCAACGCCGCATCGGCCGGCGTCGCCACTCCACCCGCGGCGAATTGCACCACCGGCAACCTCCCAAGCTGCTTCGTCTGCATAACCAAATCGTAGGGAGACTGGATTTTCTTAGCGAAGGTGAAAACCTCGTCTTCATCCATGTTCCTAAGAACTCTAATATTGTTGGTAATGCTCAATCCCACATAGTGTTGGAAACACTATTGGGAATGGTATTTAAGGCTTGACATTCCATTTCCTTGTTGAGTGATAGAGAACAAGGGGGGCTCTCGCGCACCGCCGCCGCCGTCCGTCCGTCTCGTCTCGGCTCGGCTCGGCTCGGCTCGGCTCGGCTCGGCTCGGCTCGGCTCGTGGTCGTGGTCGTGGTCGTGGTCGTGGTCGTGGTCGTGGTAATACGTGTCTTCGACACGTCCGCGCGGATACTATCTTTTTAGAGAAAATTCTTGAGGAATTTCTCTTTGAAAGAAACAAATGGAAAATGTGAAAGATATCAACTGAGAATAAATATTGAACACAAATGAATATATTCCATCAACTTCTTCTAGTAAACCTGCTAGGTCTTCTGAACAAATTGATTTTGAGCCTAGAAGTAAAAGGCAAAGAGTTGAAACCTCTTTGGACCAGACTTTATTACTTCCTTTATTTCTGAGATAAATGATTTAGACTTCATTTCAGATCCTATAGCTCAAATTTTTCTAGATGAGGATCCTAAAACTTTTGAAGAAGCTATAAGATCTATCGATGCTAGTTTTTGGAAAAGCGCTGTTAATGATGAACTAGAATCGATAATGTCTAATCATACTTGGGAATTAGTTGACTTGCCTAAGGGATTCAAACCAATCTCCAACAATGGGTCTTCCGGAAGAACTAAGGCCAGATGGTTCGATTCAGCGATACAAGGCAAGGTTAGTCGTCAAAGGGTTCACTCAAAGGTTTGGTTTAGACTACTTTGATACATACTCTCCCGTTACAAAATCTCAACGATTCGTGCATTATTTGCACTCCTCTATTCATAAGTTGCAGGTACATCAAATGGATGTTAAGACTGCTTTTTGAATGGGGATCTAGATGAGGAGATTTACATGGAGCAGCCACTCTAGATGAGGAGATTTACATGAGCAGCCACTAGGTTTTGAGGCACCTGGTATGGAAGGCAAAGTTTGTAGACTCAAAAAGTCACTCTATGGACTTAAGCAGGCTCCTAAACAGTGGTATGAGAAATTTCATAAAACTATTCTTAGTTTTGGTTTTGTTGTGAATGGTTCGATGCTTGTGTGTATTCGAAGATGTGTTGAAACTGAAGTGTTATCATAAGTCTTTATGTTGACGACATGTTGATTTTCAGTTCTAACATTGAGTCCATTAACAAAGTTAAAAATTTCTTGTCCACTAAGTTTGAGATGACAGATTTGGGAGAAGTAGATGTAATCTTAGGAGTCAAAATTACCAAAACTGAGAAGGGATTTTCTTTATGTCAAGCACATTATATAGAGAAAGTGCTAAAGAAATTTGACAGTTTTGATGTCGTCCCTGTTCGAACTCCTTATGACCCTAGCATACATCTAGTTAAGAATAAAGGAAGTAGTGTTTTCCCAAACTGAATATGCTAAATTAATCGGAAGTTTAATGTTCTTAATGAACTATACTCGGCCTGATGCTTATGCTGTGAGTAGACTAAGTAGATATACTCATAATCCGAGTGGTGAGCACTGGATTGCGCTTAAACGCTTACTGAAGTATCTTAAGGGTACTGTGAATTGGAAACTTGAGTTTGTTGGCTTTCCTGCGGTATTGGAAGGATATTGTGATGCCAACTGGGTTTCTGATAATGATGAGGTAAGCTCTACGAGCGGGTATGTTTTTACTTTGGTGGAGCAGCGATCTCGTGGAAATCATCAAAGCAGACTTGTATTGCTCGTTCTACCATGGAGTCAGAGTTTATAGCTCTTGACCTAGCTGGGCAGAAGCCGAGTGGCTCAGAAGCTTGTTAGCAGATATTCCGTTGTGGGGAAGACCGATCCTCCAGTTTCATTGTTGTGTGATCACAAGCTGCGATATGTGTGGCTAAGAACCAAGCTTACAATGGTAAGAAAAGACACATTCGCATAAGACATGAATCAGTTAGACACTTGATAAAGAATGGAGTGCTCTCTTAGAGTATGTGAAGTCGGAAAGGAACCTAGCAGATCCACTTACCAAAGGGTTAAGTCGGAAGCTGGTCCTAGATTCGTCGAGGGGGATGGGTCTAAAGCCCATTGGTTGAGGAATTCATGGTGGATACCCAACTTAGTTATCTAGTTCCATGTGGTCAAACGAAACCATGGAAAGACTCATAGTGCACATTCCTACTGCCTATCCTATGATGAATAATGTGCATGCCCAGGATGAGCTTAATTGCTCTTAATAAATTCATAGCCCAGGCTTTGGGTGGTCTTAGTGAGAAAGACTTGATGAATTTACCGATTTTGGCTGAATATCTATTCTTAATAAGTTCATAACCCAGAGTGGTGGGTAGGAAATGTGAACTTACCGACAGAAAGGTTGAGTTTGTTAAACTCTTAATAAATTCAAATCCAAGTATTGGTGGTTCTAGTGAGAAGGACTTATTGAATTTACCGATAAATGAGGTTGAATATTTATTCTTAATGACTTCTTAGCCCGAGTTGGGTGGTTCATTATAATGAACTTGAAAAAAGTCACCATACCCTTTGTGAGGTTGAGCTATTATAAAAGTCTTAATATTCCATATTCCTTTTAAAGGTGGTTTATGTTGAGATAAACTTGATGAAATAACCTATGTAAGTGAGAAGGGTTAGCCCTTCTATGAAAAATGTTGGGCTATTTTTCTAGCACACTTACTAGAATCCTGAGGTAAGATGGCCAAATATATACTTTGTATATATATATCTTACACATCGAGGACTCAGGTGGATGAAGGGGTTAGTTGTGTGTTTGAGTTTACCCTGATCTTAGAAAGTTCCAGACTAGTTTCACTTATCTAAGAGAAGGATTGCTCATCATCACTATGTACTAGTTCCAGATATGTTCACTAGTGCTTAAGCAACTAATCTCGCTATTACTCTTCTGGAAAGCTTGTTTTCGAGTTTCAGAAGATTTCTTTCGCATTAGTGGGGGAATGTTGGTAATGCTCAATCCCACATAGTGTTGGAAACACTATTGGGAATGGTATTTAAGGCTTGACATTCCATTTCCTTGTTGAGTGATAGAGAACAAGGGGGGCTCTCGCGCACCGCCGCCGCCGTCCGTCCGTCTCGTCTCGGCTCGGCACGGCACGGCTCGGCTCGGCTCGGCTTGGCTCGTGGTCGTGGTCGTGGTCGAGGTCGAGGTCGTGGTCGTGGTCGTGGTCGTGGTCGTGGTAATACGTGTCTTCGACACGTCCGCGCGGATACTATCTTTTTAGAGAAAATTCTTGAGGAATTTCTCTTTGAAAGAAACAAATGGAAAATGTGAAAGATATCAACTGATATTTATAGGCTGCTGAGGACTGTTTGAATTTCAAATAATAACAGCTGAATTATTTTTTTTATCAGAAATTAAACAGTTTATTCCTAAATTAAATCAGAAACGTTAAGATGTACCTGGACTGATTTACAGCTTTGTACAGAGGAGACAAGCTGTTAATCAGGAGTTACAGGAGTTATTTGATTTAATTCCAGGTTTACATGATATAATTTCGGGAGTTATAACAGCTGAATAATGATACAATGAACCTGGACTATTTCTGAGTCAGATTCATCTAGTCGTTTCAGCTGTTACAAATAAGAGGTTTAATCCTGAAATTTTATGGACGACTTTAACCCTATTTCTAGCCTATAAATAGAGAGCTATATTCAGCTTCTCAACTAACTCCAAAAACATTCACAATTCACTTACCAAAGTGTTTTCTAAAGTTCTCTCTGTGAGTTCTCTCTGAGTGCTTTCCGATCAGAAGTGCAATACCACCAGCAGTCCACTCCGGTTTCGGGTGTACGGAATTCGGAGCGACCGTGTAACCTCGGGGGACGGTCCGCCTACTGCAAGCGATTACACACAC